CCTGCAGACCGCCGCCAACGCCCGCCGGACGGAGGTCGAGCCGGCGGCCCTCCAGCGCTGGCCCCGCCGCAGCTGGGCGATCCTCGTCCTCGCCTCGGAGGGGGCGGACGAGGCGAACACGGCGCTCAGCGAGCTCGTGCTCCTCCACGAGGTCCTCACCAAGCGGTATGGCTTTGAGGTCGTCTGCCTGACCGGGCCTGAGCAGGACGCGGGGGCGGTGGAGGGGTGGATCAGGCGTCTAACCGCCTCCCGGGAGCTCTCGCGGTTGTTTGTTTTTTATTATACGCCAACTTTGGTGGGCGGGGCGAGCGTGCCCCAGGCGATGACCTTTCCCGATGACTCCGTGCTCGAGCATAGCAAGCTGCTGGAGATGACCTCGGAGGCGGTGGAGCGGGTGGTGGTGGTGCACAGCATGCCGCGTCAGCTGGAGGTGATGGCAAGTTTAGACGGGGAGGTAAGCCCTGCGATGTCGGTGTTCGTGACCTCGGAGGCCGCCAAAGAGGTTTTGAAGGTGCGCGGTTTACTCTATCAAGGGCTCTTCACACCGATTATCGTCGAGTTGCTTTGCCGGGATGAGGGGAAGATGCTCTGCCCGGAGGATTTGGTGAACTACGCGATTACCACGATGTCGAGGGTGACGATTGAGTTCGGCTCTTTTCTTGACAGTGATGCGGCTAGTATGGGCTACTTTGTTCCTTTTGATACCTAAGAGGATCTGTCCTTTCACTGTGTGGGTGTGTGGTGGTGGTACTGGTGGTGAGGACGCTATTTGTGGCATGACTAGATTTATTTATTTTACTTTACACATAGATCAGTATGCTGATGTATATAGATGCAGAAATATATTATAAATATCATAAGCTTCTTAGCGAAGCTTATATATTTAGTTTGTCATTGACAACAGCCGCACAAGCTGAGTTTATTTTGTAATAATTCGAAATAAGGATAGAGAAAACCAATTCGAATCGTTTCGATTATGTCTCTAATAGAATCTAGGAATGAAGTAATAAATGAATAGAAAATTTATTCAAAAATGAGTATCATCTTTTTGTTTTTATTAGCGTTCTAGTCGAAAGTATTTGCTATATTTATGTTATCAATAGAAATTTCACATACTCTGAGTTTTGTAGCGACGTGAATAAAAGAAGAAATACACTATCAATATTTTTCATTTTTTAAAAAATAATTGTTGCAGTTTTCGACTTATTATTTACGATTTAAGCGTCATCTTGCTTTTAATGGACATGATATCTAAAGTGAAAATTTCTGCGTTATATTTAAACTTTAATTTACTATTTTATCGGGAGTAAGAACTCATTATCGGTTTTAAAACAAGTAAAGAAAAAAAGTGCCCTTAATGTTCTTATTGAAATCTTGTTTTTGGCTATTAGGGGAAAAAAAATCCCATAAAGTATTCATGTAACTTAATTACTGCTTGTGTGTATGTGTATTACCAATTTCACACATTTCGTGTTATCGTTATTTTCACCAATCGTTTTTATTCTTTAAACACAAACTCTAGCAATTGCAATAAAAATATATAAATAGGTCTCTAATGGCAGAAGCCGCGCGAACCGTTAGACACTACGTGAGCGATTGCCTCCCAGAGCGTCATCCGTACGATCCGAAGAAAGGCTTTGCCGGGGAGCGTTTACGGAATGCTGGCAAAGTCTTTCGTGGCTTTCTTCCGATTACTGTGGATATTTCTATCGAAAGCCTAACTAACCCAATTGTAAACGAAGAAGAGCGAAGCAAGGCGGTGCACCACCTCTACGCATATTCGGCATCACAGGAGATGAAGGTGGAGCTTATCCAGAAGGGCGTCGTTTCGATTATTGTTTCACTGCTCAATCAAGAACCTATATTAGGTATTTTAGAGCACCAGTGCTTTCTCTTACTTCGATCGCTTTGTATTATCCCGCAGGGGTGTTATGCGGTGGTGTTTGGAGGTGGGCTCGCAGCGGCGCTTGATCGGGCAACCAAACCGCCCAACCCCAATACGGAGATGCCAAATTTAGACCCACGAGAGGCCGCTTTACACGTGATTTTTCAGATTGCAGTTGATTTTTGTGGAGTGCGGTGGCTATTATATCCGGAATCATACGAGGAGTTTATTATCCCCGGGGTGGAGTACCCATGCGCAACGACGGTGTACATCGGGGATGTTTTCAAGATCCTATCGAGGGTACTCGTGAAGGAGCCGATGTCCACCCGCTCAGCTCTCTACGTGTTAGGGAGTTTAATCCACATGACGTCTCTTCAATCGAGCACGGAGATCTGCATTCGCGAGGCGGAGGATGTTTTGGATACGTTGAGCGCGCGTTTAGCCGCCATCGCACATGACCTTCTCAAGGGGGAAACCCTGGCAAAGGAGAATTTTTTGTTTGCAGAGCGTCTGTGTGAGGTTTTATGGAATCTCACACTCGTGGAAGAGGGGTTGGCGGCCATGGAGCAGCACGAGATCCCTGATTTGCTTTTTGTACTGTTCGATGGGTGCCGGCTGGACGTCTCCGCCGAGGCGTTATCGATGCAGCGCACCCTAACAGGGGTTATTTCAGCCATTTATAGTCTATTAGATGTCAAATTGCATATTATGCAGACCCTCACAGGTGGGCTCACACGCGTGGAGGCCTTGTTAATGCATTTGGATACCCTTAACCGCCTTATCGCAAGCGCGGAAAAAGGGGATCAACAGGTAAATTTATACAACGCGAATGCGGCGGTGAAAAATACCATTATGGCGCTGCAGCTTGCGATGGAAGCCAAAGAGCAACGCATTGTGGGTCATGCCTTTTTCAAAGAACTTAGTAAGGAAAATGCCGAGGCCTCTCAGCAGATGTGTGAGCAAATTTTTGCAAAGACAAGATGGGGAAAGGAATTTGGTGCCTCCACCTCTGTAGAAGGCATTCTTTCATAAATTCCGTCGCTGCGTCTCGCTTTTCGCTTGTGCATCTGGGATTGATTATCAAATAAGCATATTTTTTTTCCAATTATTTTTTATGCCCCTTTGAGGGGATATTTTTTCCCCCCATCAAACGGTTCCGCCTTGAGCGGAAGCCTATCGCGTGGAAGATGTAAAATTTCTTTTACTCATTCAGATGTGTTATAGTTCACGACGAAATATCTTATTGTTATTGTGAATAGTATTTTTTTTTTTACAAGAACGCAGCGCTTGCCATGGTTTGAAGGGGAGCCCAGTACATTTTGTCGTGGTCTGTCGATTTAACGAACGAACCCGATCCTTCCTGTGACGGTGCTCCCACCGGGTGTGAACGACCTGAGGTTTGCCTCGCCCTAAGCGACTACTTTCTTTCCCCGTATATTCCCCCCTCCCCCTCCCCTTCTTTTAGTTAGGATTTCATTAGTTTAGTCTTCCCAAAGAGTCGACCGCCCGCGGGATTGGGTGATTGCGTGGTGGCCTTCGAGCGATGCCGGCGCCGACGTCGAACCCGGGGCGCGGCCCCACCGAGGTGGTGGGGCGGATCTTCCAGCACGTCCACCGCGGCGCCGCGCACGCGGCGAAGTACAAGAAGGAGCTCCTGGCCCTCCGCGCGGCCGACCCCCCGGGCTTCGAGGCCGCGCTGGGCCGCGTGGTGCTGCTGATCCTCGCGCAGGTCCCCCAGATCACCCCCGACGCGCTGAAG